AAACCCCGTTTCCCGTTTATTCCGACGGGTAACGCCACGTCATTGTTGGTTGCAATTTACCAGTTTGCCCATGGATTGACATTTGTGGAACATGATTTTGAGAGGACATATTAGTCATTAAAAATAAACGAAGGTTAACCTGTCCTTTGTCCTTCATCAACTCCATGTGTATGTGACAACTAATTCTAATTGGAAAAGAATTGTTGTTTTCTTTAGTAAACTCTGTGTTACATTCTCTTAATTATTTTACCTTAAATAAATCATATGTTTAGATCTATAATATGATATAATTATAAGATACAAGTATAATATAAAATTCGATATGACATTATAATAACATTACAATGGTCGATGGGATGATTATAATGTAATATTTGAATTTTAAAATTTAAAAATATATTTTTAAATAATTTCTAATGATTACAAATAATATTTGCTTAATTTTTTAACTTATTTATAATGCACGTATACTATGTGAAAATAGTTGTTCGAACTTGAATCTCAAGAGAGAAAATATTCTTTTATATTAGTGAAATCACTTAATGTGTTAAAATATTTTATATAATGCTATAAGTGGTATGCATCACTAACAAATCTCTTAATATGTTCGCTCTCTCTTTATAAAAAAAAACTATACATCTATACTAATTCATTGAAAAAAATAAAATTATATTTTCGTTTTAGGTGGTTGCCTTGTAAATTTGAATTAAATAAATAAATAATTTTTTTTAAATGCTTTTAAAAGGACTAATTGAGGTGGACAAATCAGTGAGTCCAAATTTAGTAGTCCATGTCTATGTGATATGTTATCAATGTGTTGGTAATATTTAGTTTTACATCCTTTCATGATCGTTAAATAAGGGGAAATCAAAAGTTGAAATTAACTTATTCTTTTTTTTTCACTGAATATCTTATCATTTCCTACTGTTAATCTCATTTTTAATTTCTCTTCATCCAACGATCCTAAAAATATATAAAACTTTTTAATTTTACATTGTAATTGGATCTTAACCCCATATGTATTATCTAAAGTAGATTGTAATTGAAAATTATGAAAAAAATTAATCAATGAATAAATGCATGGGAACCCATTTTAGGGCACAATACCATGTGCATTTTCCCATTGGTTTTAGATGCATTGCCAATATTCTTTGACCTAAAAAATTGTAAAATCAAATACTTCCCTATAATATACCATTGTACCCTTAAATTTTGAAATTTTTTAGTTATGTGTCCCCAAAAATAGAGGTTATTTATGGTAAGATTCGAAATTTATTATTCAGTTATCATTTTTATAAGGGTGTCTAAATTAAATAAGTTAAATATACCTTTTTTAGATAAATGAATCTTATTTATTCAAGCAGTAGCAAAGCTACCAAAACAATACATCAAAAAATAAACTTGAACCAACAACCAGTTGGTCTAGTGAGATGATGCACTAGATTCCTTAAGCAAGATCATATGTTTGAATATTGGCGTTTGTGTGGAGTAAAATGGGTTGGGAGGGTCGCCCTTGCTCAGCAGTACAAGATCTGGATTAGTCGGTCAATAGATCGGATACCAGTGATTAATTAAAAAAATGAAACTAGAATTTAGTTATTTATTGTAAAATGTGGAATTTTTTTTTCAATTAGGTATATGCATTTAAAAATACAACACATTTGTGGTATTTGTTGAAGAAAAGAAAAGCAAATATGATGGACATTACACCTTTCTTCATCTTATCTTTAAAGGGAAGAAGTGATATGCTTATCCTAAGTTTTTATGTGAATGCAATATCCACATTTAATTGTATTAAAATGTGTGTCACAAACACATGATAATTTTACAATTAATTGTGCAACTTGTTAATTCATACGAAAAAAAACACCCTTCAAATACAAAATTGATAATCAAAATAATTATGAAACTAGGTTAATATCTATAATTGTTAATGGAATGTTCTGATTTTGTAAACAAAAGTAAACTAATGTTACATTTAGTATATCTTTAATCACACTAAACTATTCAGAAAAAAGTTAAACTTTAAAATCTATCAACAATAAAAAAAACTAATAGATTGAAATTTCGTGTTGATATCTTAATGTCTAGATTTAAATCTTGATCAGATCGTATTCACAATAGGTTTTTATTAAATTTAAATGGATTTTAACCTTAACTTTGTTTCTTAAACAAGGGGAGAAGTCTTTTGCAAGAAAGTGATCCCAAGAGTGCAACTCAAGTTATATTTTTTAAAAAGAAAATAAAAATAAATTACTTTTCCCTAAATATTTTAGTAGAAATTTTTCAGAGACAAAACAAAAGAGTGAGTATTTTAGATGGATTTGGTGCAAAAGAGTACAATTCAAGTTAGTTAAAAGAGAGTGAAAGGAGATATGGAGTGAGGTTCATCATTTCTTTACTGACTAAAGTCCCCCAAATTTTTTTCTTTTATTATTTAGTCCATTTTATTAACTCTTTTTCGATTAGAAGAGAACATGTAACGAAAATTTTGTGTTAATTAAAGTCTTTTATCATTATTTTACAGATTCACCTAACCTCATTTATCATCGGTATTAGATATAATTATACCGTGTGATTTCAATACAAATAATTAAATAATTTTAACAATGAATGAATATCTTAAATAAATAAAGTTAAAAAAAGTAAAATTAATTTTGAAGAAATCCTCAAATTCAACTAAATTGCTTCCCCCACTCCTTCTCAAGGTAAAAAGAGAGACAATGTTAATTGATAGTTAGTGGAAGGGGACCCAAACTAATTATTCAAAAACAATGACTTTATAAATATATTAAATTACATGAAAGTCAATATTTTTACAAGGTGCCTTGATGAATGTATTAAATCAAATAGCTCTATTTAATTAACGATCATTAGCATTTTCTAATAAGAGAAGTAATTTGAGTTAAAACAAATGTCAATGAAGTGTTGGTTGAAATGGTAAAATAGACGTCTTTAGCCTAGAGCCTTGCTCGATAGGTGGTATCATACGAGATTATGATGATATTTTTTTTAATAATTTGAGATGATTATAAGATAATATTTGTTCAATTTTTTTAATTATTGATAACACACTCTCAAATCAAAACTACTTATTTTTTTTTAAATATTTAAATTTCATTTTAATACTTCCAATGAAAATATTTAATGACAGTAATAAGCTTTTTTCCCATCACATTCCAAAATTTAGTGGTCAATATCAATAAGAAAAATTGTCATATGAAACAAAAAAAATGTGGGATATTTAAAAATAACTCATTAATATATAAAATAAGTGTAAATAAATTCATGATCGGTCTAATTTTATAGATAAAAATGAACATGTCAACATGTTTTAAGTAGTTAAAAAAATTTAAAGACATCAAGTCTATTTCAACTCTCTTCTATTTCATAATTCCATGAAATAAATTTATTTCAATTCAATATAAATTTCATTAATTTGAAATAAATCCAATTTTTTTAATAAAATTGAATTCTATATTATCTCTTCAACCATTTTTATATTTACTGTAATTCGGGTCACTAAACATATCAACATAATGTATTAAAATTTATGTTATTAATTAAGCTAATTATTTATTATAAAAAAACAAAAAATTAAGATGAAACGTTAAATTATTAAAATATAATCATAAGATTAAATGTTGATGTTCTAAGTAGAGTAAAATAAATTAAGTTGATCTCTCCTATAACTGACATCTATGATAATTAATTTAAATTATTCAATCAATAAATTTAATATTCATAATTATATAAAAATATACAATATTGTATAGAATTTAAATTAAAAGTTGTTTATTTTAGTAAAAGAAATGAACAAAATATTTATTTATTTTACTTTTAAAATATTTGGCCATATATAAAACCCGCGTTAATGTTCTGTTTGACAAAAGCTGTATTTTAAAGTGAAACGGGTGGCAAATCTAATCCACAAGGGAATGCTAAACCCAAGTTAAGAAAAACGCCCACGCGCAGTTTCTTATTGCCATTTCAATAGACCCAATGAAACAATGCCAGGTCAGTAAAATTCCTTGAGTGTGGGTCCACGTTCCAATAACTCGAGTTACTCGTTTTTTTTCTCTTTTGACATTTTTTTTGTTTTACTAAATTTAGGGAGTTAAAAAGTAAGAGGTGACTAAATTATATTTCTTATTTTTTTGCCTTTATTTGATGATAGTAAAATCCAAAATTTACGCATTAGTTTTAACATAATTTTGGAATAAAATTTTAATTAAGAAGCAAAACTCTATTGAAAATTTAAACTTTATATGTGAGAACTTATTTGAGTGTCTCAGTGATAAAAATGATATTATTTTCTTTAAAAAATTCGAGTTTTAACAAATTTATAGACATCTGTAAAATATATTTTGTGTATTGGTTAAAAAAATTATGAACAAATAATATATTATAATATCCCTAAGCTAATAAAAAAAGTATATTTGAGTTAATAAATTGATGTATACTCTAAATATATAGTTTTAATTTTTTTTTTAAAATTTTGCTATTATTATGATATCAAATAATTTTTTAATAATTTAACAAATTTTATTTGAATCTAGCAATTCAATTTTTTATGACATATCACATATGGCATTACCTCTGTAGTTAAAAGAAGTCTTATTTTTCTTTTAAATCTTAAATTCAAACAATAGTATCTACAAAATATGTTAGAGTTGTCAATAATATTATGAATATGTACTATTATTGTAATTATATGAGACTCCTAAAAAATAATATCATAATATTCTTCAACTTAATTCGATTAAAAATTTTAAATTATAAAATAAAACACAATTAGACTAATTCAATTTTTTTTTACTAAACTGATTTTACCCTATAATAACAAGAGAGAGAAACTTGAAGATGAAGACATAAAGAAGCGTAAAAGACAGCTATCAACGAAGGAAAGGATGCTGAGTGCCGACCTACCTTCCTTATAACTCCCCCTTCCTTCTTCCCTTCCCATTTTAGTTTCTCTTTCTCATCCTCTCTCTCCAGTTTCCCTCCTCTTGTTCAAAGGTATCTCCTTTAGCTACTCACTTGCATGCTTGTCATCACCATTTTTGAACAATTTATGAACTTGGGATTTGCTTCAAAGTTTTCATATTTTGGAGAGTTTTCGGAAATTTTGCAGTGTCAGGCTCAAAAATCATTTCTTTTTATCACTATTACTCTGTTTGGTAACTTAGAAAGCAGAGGATTTGTACTTAACTTGACTCCAATGGGTTCTAATGTATATGCTTCAGCTACCAATGTCGTTTGTGTAGTCGATTTCACTTTTGTCAAACTTTTTTTCTTGCAGGTTTCCGAGACAATCTCTGTTCATTTCCTGGAAAATTTTCTCTTCTTTCACCAGAAAAAGTTCTGCTCTTTAACAGAGGTTTGCCTCACTATCCTTTCAACCTTTCAATTACCCAATTTTGATTTTTCACAAATATAAATTTGGAATTACTAATAATTAACCATAATAATTTTACTTTTTTTAATTATTTTCAGGAGCTTTTTATATAAGAAAAAATGATTGGACCGGCGGACTTCATCGACGAGATAGACTGCGGCAGTTTCTTCGACCACATAGACGACCTCCTCGACTTCCCTAACTACGACGTTGACGTCGGCTTATCCGCCTCTGACTCTGCCTTCAACGCCGCCGCTTGTCCCAGCATTTGGACAGCTCAGTCCGAGTCATTCCCTGGTTCTGAGTCAGTTTTTTCCAACAACAGTGCTTCCGACCTCTCCGCCGAGCTTTCTGTTCCGGTCAGTTTCTCAATTTCCTTTTCGTCCCATGATGACGACGTTATAAATATCACTAATTTTTATTTACTTTTTGCTATTACAGCTTCCCTTTTTAACTGTTTCCAAGGGTCGAATTTCTGTTTTGGTCCCCATACTATATTAATTAGTCAATACTTGATATTTCCCTTAAAAGTACAGTTTTCAATGGATTTTTATTTTTTATGTTGGTACTTGAGGAATCATTTTTACCATTTTAACTTAATTAATTCGGCTTGATCTGGATTTAATTTCAAATATCAGCATAGTAGAGGGACTTAAAACATGAAATTAACCTTTTTTTATGAAAAAAGTGGAATACACCCAGGGTTTTGCATTATTTAAAGGCATAATTATTGCTTCAGTTATGGAAGTCACATGACATGTCATGTGATTAGTTATACATGCCTTTGATATAATATTATGTTGGGTCCACTTAATTGATATTTGACAAATACCCTTTTTGAATATTTAAAAAAATATTTTAATGAATTTAAATATTTATAAATACAATTTTGGCTGATTATTGAGTAATCTTTGATTTTGCAGTACGAAGACATTGTCCAATTGGAATGGTTGTCAAACTTTGTTGATGATTCCAATTGTGGAGCAAGCTTGACTATCAAGAAACAAGAGCCTTCTTCAATCAATAAGGACTCATCCAATCATGATCATCGTCATCAATTCCAGACTTCTAGTCCGGTTTCGGTTCTCGAAAGCAGCAGCTCTTGCTCCGGGGAGAAATCGATTGCCGGCCCCGCGAAGTGTGGACGTGCACGTAGCAAACGTCCTCGTCCGGCAACTTTCAACCCACGCCTGGCGATTCAACTCATCTCCCCTTCTTCGTCCGTCAACGATAACAGTAACGACATTCCTCAACCGTTACTCGTCGTCCCCAAGGTGGCATCTGACTCCGAGAACTATGCCGAGTCTCGTCTTCTGATCAAATTACCCCGTCAAGTCAATCCAGAGCACAAGAAGAAAAAGAAGATCAAGTCGACACTCTCGACACCACCTACCGACAATGGCACCGCTCAAAATCAATCGGGACAAGCCGTAAGGAAATGCATGCACTGCGAGATAACAAAGACACCACAATGGAGGGCGGGGCCAATGGGACTGAAAACCCTTTGCAACGCCTGCGGTGTTCGATACAAGTCCGGAAGGCTCTTCCCGGAGTATCGTCCCGCAGCGAGCCCGACGTTTATCCCATCGATTCACTCAAATTCTCATAAGAGAGTGCTGGAGATGAGAACCAAAAGTGGCACTGCCTGTGAAACCACCGATTCACCAGAAATGATCCCAAACAAAAGCAACCCGGCATTGGATTACATGCGAGGGGAGGGTTTAGGGGTTGGAGAGTTTTGAAGCCCTGTCGTTTAGGGTTGATATTTTCTAATTGTTCCCCTCTTCCCCATCTCTTTAATTTTTTTAAAATGTTTATTTTGTTACTGTTATTTTCATCTCTTCGTTCGTTGTTTTAAATTTTGTATAGGGTAGAAAGGGAATTTAATGGGAGGAAAAACAGGGTAGAGAGTGCAATGTTGAAGGGTAGGAAAGCTGTAGGTTTTAGGGTAGATTTGTTGATTATGAGTTAAGATTATTTTGATTGCTTGAGATTTAAATAATTTCAGATTATTTATTCGAGTTATTTAAAGTTATCATCATTTCAAATTCTGATTGTTTTTAGTTTTATTTATTTTGTATTTAGGTTTAAACAGTTAAATTAGATTGAAATGTATTGGACTCAAAAAATAAGAAATCAAAAGGTTAAAGGAAAATAAATGATTTAATGTCACACTTAACATTCTTGAATTTCAAGCAAAACGACCCAAATTGAAACTAAAAAAAAAAACATTATAATGTAAGATATAAATAATATGACATGAAAATGAACTTTTGTTTTAAAACCCTAAATGAAAAAACCAAAATTTCTACTCTTTAGCTACTTTGGTTGGATAATCAATATCAACTTGTAATCATTTCTAAGGTTGTTATAAAGGATTTGGCAAAATGTCTCAATCCTTCTAATCTCACTCAATGTTACCAAATTTGTGGATTTTGTTGTTGTTGTTGAAATAATGTTATAAAATTATACGAGTGATTGAATCTATTTTCGGTTCAGTTATTTAAACAATGGATTTTAAATAAAAATATAAAATGAACTCAATCAACTGAACCGCTAGACCTTAGTTTTTAGTTTTCATTGCTTTAATATAGTTTACATAATTTCTAGTTTTATCTCACCGATTAAATTAATTAAACAATAGACCTTTAGTTTAACTAATGAATCGGGTCCGATTCTAACCTCTATAATTGTATAAATGAAAGGGTTCTCAAATTGATTGTCTAGAAAACGATTAGTAATATAGAAAAAATATTTGAAATTGAAATTAGAATCAATCAGTGGTAGTACTTTCATTGTTTCTAAAGTTGATTCGGGCATTCTAATCATATGGTTTGATGCTTCTTGGGGCATGTTTTAAAGTAATGCTTGCTTGCAATTTGAACAAAATTTTGGAATTTGATAGGACACTATACCACCAATTGAGAAATGCGTCCATTCCATCACCATCCACCCAAATAAAAATGGCCCCATTAACCTCGTGGACATTGCTCAATCAACTAATCCAGACTGGGATTATGTTGAGAGGGCAACAGTTTTGGTCAATTTTAGGGTTTTAGTTAGGAATTTAAATTAGCATACTGTCGGAACTATCTTTCGGTTAGACCCGAAATTAAGCTTCGACTTAGGTTAAATATGGTTAGGAGTCGCCACCGATCATTTATTTTAAAACAAATGGGTTGATCGGATACTCTGTTCCTTACCTGATCTGAGTCTTTCCAAAGATGTGTCGGATTCGGGAGTCGATTACAGTCAAAGAAGGGTTAGCACCCTTGAACTGCCCTTTCGGTACTACGCAATTTCCAGTTGTCTTAAATTAAGAAAATTGTAATTTAAAATTAAAAGGTAAAAATACGATCCAAAACTTACCACTGATTGATTGAAATACCTTTAAAGGATGAAAATATTAGAAGAGAAAAAAAAACAAAAAATGAACAAAATAAGGTAAAGAAAATAAAGGTAAAAATGAAAAGATGAATATATATATGCAAAAGGAAAAAAATAAATAAAGAGAAAATAAAGTAAAATTAAAGGAACAAATAAAATGCATATAAATAAAGTGTAAAAAAATGAAAAAAATAATAAAAGATAAAAATAAAAGATAAAACAAAATGAAACATATGAAATATAATAATGATAATGATGAAGTATATATAATAATAATAGTAATAATAAAAAAAGAAATAAAATGAAAATAAAAGAAACTGAAAAGAATTATGGAAAAATATAAAAATAAGTAAATATATATATATATATATATATATATATATATATATATAAAAGAACGTGTAAAGAAATATAAAATACATATATATATAAAAATAAAACAAAAATAAAATAATATTAAAAAAATAATAAAAAATATATACATAAATAAATAAGCTTTGTTAAATAAAATAAATAGAGAAAAGGGAAAGTAATTAATTGCAAAAAGAAATATATATATATATATATTTATATACGTAAAAGGGACCGAATTGAAAGAAAGCCAAAGCAGCAGGTCGAATTTGAAAGCCAATCGAGTTTAAAAATCAGATTTGGGGGTTAAAATTGAATTTTTCAAAACAGGAGGGTCAAAAAGCGCAATTTACCCTTTATGAAAGTCAAAACACGCGGGTCTGAATCTATTTGGGTCGGGTTACGAGTCGATTCCATGGGTACTATAAATCCTATTTTCACAAATAACATTTTATTATTTCCCTTAACCCAAAATGAATCAAAACGAGAGGTTCAAAAACCTCTGAAATGTTCTTCATTTCTGAAGAACTCTGGTGGCCGGTGTTCATCGAGAACCCAGAACTCGGCCATACTTGACCGCGCCGGCACCCGTGGACAGGCGCCAGCCACCGCACGCCGGCGACAAAATCCCAACTTTCCAGCACCATTCGAAAGCCCGCTCCATCCTTGTTCTAAAAATCCCAAAAGTTTTCGCAAAACAGCCTCGGGGGAGAGTAAATCGAAGTTTGAAACTCTCGAACTCTCATACTTAGTTCATATGCTCCCTTTCTAAAAAAAAACCTTTCGAGTTTTTACGAAAACGAGCACGAATAAGCACTCCCACAAATGCATGCAACTGACAAATCGAAAAAGGTATGGGTTTTTACCTTTCATTTTTTTTGAAAAATGAGACAAAATGCTTCGATTATTGCTCGTGCTTATCGCGTAATTTCTCGGTATATTTTGAGTATGAAATTTCTTGTATTTCTACTGTAAAAATCCCTCTCTACATGTGGTGTTGCTTACATTATTTTATAGTAGAGACAAGTCCAATTTTTAGGAGTTTTACTCCGAATAAAAATGCTAATGTGTGATGTTGGTTGTTTTGTTGTCTTCGTGGGTTGTTGGCGAGGAAAACGACCGGTTGTGTGGGGCGAGACGTACGGCGCGAGACTCGGAGTGGAGGAGTGTTCGGGGGCTTGTTACGGTGCTGGTGAGGCTTGGAGGGATTAGGGTTTCTAAACATACCATAACTTGCAACTGGTCATAGAGCCTAGGTGCTTTGGGTCTGGGTTGGGCCACGTGTGATATGGTTTTGGGCCTTGTCCCTGATTTGTTAGTCTTAGACCTATACAAAATGTAACAAATATGTGAATATGCGTACGACATATGTAATAAACTATATTATATAATATAAATTATAATTTAAATATATTATATAATATTAAAGGACGAAATTTGGTGTCTTCAGCTGCCCCTCTTTGCTCATTATCGTGTAACGAAAATAGAGCAAAGATTAAAAGACACAAATGTCGTCCATATTAAATGTCCTCTAAAATCTGATGTTGAAACTGGTTTGTCAATCACGAAATGACTCCCTCGTCTTGAGGTTGAATTGTAAATGGTTCCTTAGTTGCGAAGACGGGTTCATCTTGAAATGGAATTGAAGCCGCAATTCAGAATTTGAATCAGAATGTGGCTTATCGTTGTCAAATTGTAGTCAACTCTGGTATTCTTCTCGGTTTAAAGACCTTGGTTTGAAAATTCGACTGGAAAATAATTCTTTGACCTCACCAAGTGGTTGATAGGCACTCAAGTTAAATGAGATCGAACTCGAAAGGTCTTCGTTGACAGATAGCTTTTCTCTACTTAAGCTATGCTGCAAATGATGTGCCTTTGAGATGAGCTTAACTGAACTCGAAGGTTTGGTGTTTCAAGAGAAACATTTTCAAAGGTTTCTTTTTTCAAGAGAAACAATTTCAAAGGTTTTTTGTTCTTCAAGAGAAACTGTCTCAAGATTTTTTCCAAGAAAAAAAGGTTTTTTGTGTTTCAAGAGAAACAATTTCAAAGATTGGTGCTTCAAGAGGAACTGTCTCAAGAGAGACAAAACTTTGTTTCAAGGAAAACTGTTTCAAGAGAGACAAAATTTGTTTCAAGAGAAACTGTCTCAAGAGAGACAAAACTCAATTTTAAAAGAAACTGTCTCGAGAGAGACGAAATTTGTTTAAAGGAAAACATATTCAAAGATTTTATTTCAAGGGAAACAGTCCCAAGAGAGACAAAATTTGTTTCAAGAAAAACTGTCTCAAAAGAGACAAAATTTAATTCTAAAAGAAACTGTCTCGAGAGAAACGCAATTTGTTTAAAGGAAAACAGATTCAAAGATTTTGTTTCAAGGGAAATTGTCTCACGAGAGACAAAATTTGTTTTAAGAGAAAATGTCTCAAGAGAGACAAAATTTGTTTTAAGAGAAAATGTCTCAAGAGAGACAAAATTTGTTTTAAGAGAAACTGTCTCAAGAGAGACAAAACTTGTTTTGAGATAAATCATCTCAAAGGTGATCGATAATCTGCTTGTTCATGCATGTTAAAGAAATCCTTTCAGAAGCTTTAATCGTTGACTTAAGGAAGTCAAATATGTGGATAACATGTTTTTTATGACACTAGATCACTTCATCGGGCATGATATCCTTCACATCGTGAAGTTGAAATCGTGAATGGCTCATTCGCTATGAAATTGAGCTTTTAATTGGATGTTCCTCGTTGTGAAGTTCAGATCCACACTTGTAAATTGCACTTCTTTTGAGTTCATTATCTTTCGCTGAGAAGTTGAAATTGACTCTAGCATGAATCTGCAAAATTATGCACATATGCGATGCTATGGATGCGATGCTCTTATGTATATACAAAATATATTAGTTTAGGGTTTGGATAGAAATCTCAATCCCTGGTTGTCAGTCTTGATGACTCTTGATGCTATAATCTTGGATTCTTCAATATGCTTAAAACAAAATGTTGATATGTAAAGGGAATAATTGTGTGAGCATTCTTCATTCTCTCGGTTTGTCTTCATTTTCACCAGGGTGTATTTTTGCAAACCTCAACCTAAGACAATTTATTTTCCTTGCTCCAACAAATTTTGCCTCAAAAATTGGGCTTCTCCTGCCCTAGTTTCAATCTTGAGCTTCGGAGAGATATTCGTTGATTTCCAAGACAT